GAGAAAGGAGAAAGTGAGAAAAACAAATAAATGAGAGAAAAGAGAGACAGAGAGAAAAACACAGAGAGACATTGTAAAGAAATGAGAGAGAGAGAGAAGAGAAAGAGAGAGAGAGAGCGAAAAGCAACAGAAAGAAAGAGAGAGGGAGAGAGTTAGTTGAATTTGTCCTTCTAATCCTGCTATGACATCATGACTCCACTGAGAGCTAATTATGGAGAGTGGCTGTTTGAGCAAGTGAGCGCCGATGACATCACTCACACACACACACACACACACACACACACGCACACAAATGCACACACACATTTAAACTCATTGACCTCCCCCACCACACACACACACACACACACTCTCCTTTAAAGTGTGACTAAAACTCAGACGTGTTCATGCATACATTCACCTCTCATCACACTCTTTCCTGATCAGCAGACCCTCCTCCACCTCTCAAAGGGGGAACTCCACCCATTTTTCAAAATTGCACGATTAATTGGTTAAGACGTAATCAAAGTCATTCAGAGTGGTTTGGTGTGAAATGCTCAGTCAGGATTGTTCACAGTGGTGGTGATAGGAACCAGACGTCCACCTCTAAAAGCTCCCTCACAGAAAGTTACTACATGAAATGCTTATGAACAGAATCAGGTTATAAGTAAATCAGATTTTCCACTATTTTCCATCATCAACACTCCATATAAACTCAGAAGACTCGTGTAGGTTCACTGGTGGTTTTGGATGGTAAATAAAATGTCTATATTTCTGTTGTAGTCATGGCGACTCCACGTTCCTATCACCACCACTGTAAAGACATCTGAACCATTTCACACCAAACCACTCTGTGTGACTTTGTTTGCAACTCAATAAGTGAACTGTGCAGGATTTTTTTTAAAAATTGGGTGGAATTCCCCTTTAATACTTCCCTAAATTTGCATTTTCCAGCTATTAATTTACATACAGCCTCTTAGTCTCTCTCTCGCTCTGTTTTAAATGCGAATCCATTGTGCTCTGTCACTCACACCTCACAGCCTTCAGCCCCCCCAATCAATAAAATCTAATGAATATTTAAAGTCGGAGCTGCTTTGTGCCAGCCGGTCACTCCGGCACGGCTCTGGATTTATGCGCTGGAACACAGACGTGCAGGGGCGGTCCAAACCTGACTGAGAACGATTGAAACGATTGAGAAGGTAAAAAAAAAACAAAAAAACGCAAACGCAGCTAAATAAAGTTTCCATTAGGGCTGCAACTCTAAGCTCAAACCCAAGTGAATGTAACACTTAGTTGTCTTATCACTGCATGGATATAGGAATCATAAAGATTTGAGTCCACAAGATCTTGAATTAGAGACAGAAATCTGCTAATAAATGTTTTTAAAGCTTAGATATAAGTCAAAGTTATTAACTTAGAGTACTGCAAGTGGAGGAAATCTGTTTTATATACAAACCCAATTAGAAAAATTTGGAAAGTGCGAAAAATGCAAATAAAAACAGAGAGCAGTGACTTGCAAACTCTTCTTGGCCTGCATTCAATTGAAAACACTACAACGAAAAAATTTAACATTTCAACTAAATAAATGTAATGTTTTTGTATATATCTGTGCTTATTCTAAATTTGATGCATGCAAACTATTCCAAAAAAGTAAAGTAAATGTTCACAATTGTGTTACATCACCTTTCCTTTTAACAAAATTCAGCAAGCATTTGAAACTGAGGACACCAATTGTTGTTGTGAAAGTGGAATGTTCTCCCTTTCTTGATTGATATAACACTTCAGCAGGCCTGTCTAGCACCTGCACTTTCTTACTATGAAGCTATGGTGATGTAAAGCATACTGAAGCAGGGACGTCCCTGAAAAAGACGTCATCTAGATGTCAGCATACGTTGTTCCAAAATGCAAATGTACCCCTCAGCATTAAGGGTGCCTTCAAAGATATGCATGTTACCTACTAATATATACTATAACAGGTGCTGGATTTTGAACTTTACACTGGTAACAATCAAGATGGTCTTCTTTGGCTCAGAGAATGCACTGTTCATTATTTCCAAAAACATTCTGAAAGTCTGACTCATCAGACCATAACACACGTTTCCACTTTGCTTCCATCTCAGATGAGCTTTAGCCCAGAGAAGTTGGCGGTGTTTCTGGAGGTTGTTGATATATGGCCTCTGCCTTGCGCAGTAGGATATATTTGTAGATGTTGCAATGAACTATGTTTACTGAATAAAGTGTTTTGGCCTTACACACAGATTCCCCTAGATTCCCTGAATCCTGGAATGTCATCATTAACTTTGTGGACAATTGTTGCAGCGCTACTAACCAACCCATCTTGACAGAACAGCCAATATTTAGAGATTACATTAGCATGCAATTCTATCACTGGGCTTTTTCTCAGAAGAGCTGAGTCATCTCAGAGCGAATAACTCCTCTTACGAGTTCATATGGTGTCATATTGCTTTTGTGAATAATTCACATGAGGTAAGCGGTCTGAAGAGAGATGGTTCTGTCAGGATGTGGTCTGGCCTGCCCCCTCTCCTTGACCAAGTTACCTACTAATACCCTCACGTACCATGATAGACACTGGATTTTGAACTTTACACGGGTAACAATTAAGATGGTCATCTTTGGCTCAGAGAATGCAATGTTCATTATTTACAAAAACATTCTGAAAGTTTGACTTGTGAGACACAAACACGTTTCCACTTTGCTTCCATCTCAGATGAGCTTTAGCCCAGAGAAGTCAGCGGTGTTTCTGGAGGTTGTTGATATATGGCTTCTGCCTTGCGCAGTAGGATGCATTTGTAGATGCTGAAATGAACTATGTTTACTAAAGAGGGTTTTCCGAAATATTTTAGCCTTACACACAGATCTCTCCAGATTCCCTGAATCCTGGAATGTCGTCATTGACTTTGTCAACAGTTGTTACAGCACTACTATCCAACCCATCTTGACAGCACAGCCAATATTTAGAGATTACGTTAGCAGGCGATTCCATCACTGGGCTTCTTCTCAGAAGAGCTGAGTCATCTCCGAGCGAATAATTCATCATATGGGTTCATATGGAGTCATATCGCTTTTGTGAATAATTCACATGAGGTAAGCGGTCTGAAGAGAGATGGCTCTCTCAGGATGTGGTCTGGCCTGCCCCCTCTGCTCGGCCAAGAGCTCTCAACACGCTCTCAATACGAGAACCCAGAGTACTCACGGTCATATACGCTCTCACAACATCAGCAAACTCTCTCAGCAGATGCAACACACTGCACTACACTCATATTGCCTTCCTTTCAGGACATTAACTCATGATAAAAAGCTGATAAATGTGCTCTAGCAGGCCTGAGGCACCGCACTCTGAAGTTTCAATGGACACATTAAGAAATTAGCAGCTCTGACGTCACTTATTGTGGACAAGTTGCTTGATATTTTTGATACAACAAGACTGTAGTGTGTAGTTTAGTGTTTAACCTGCCAAACAGACCACACAACAATAATGGATATTTATTGTCAATGCACTTTTTACTTGAAAAGGGCTCCCAAGACCCAGATTAAGCTGAAGCCTAGACTAAAAAGAATATTCACTGGTGATTCACCATTGGCATTGCAAGACTGAACTATATACATAGCCAGGAAATCAGCTCTATAATGTTCTATATTATTCATGTGATCCATGTGGTCATTCTGACAGATTGTAATACTCTACAGGAAGTGTAGGGGGCGATATGACTTCTACTGTTTCATTTAAAAAGCCTCTACCATGTTCATATGATCCACATAGTCATTCTGACAGACTGTAATACACTACAGGAAGTGTAGGGGGCGATATGACTTCTACTGTTTCATTTAAAAAGCCTCTACCATGTTCATATGATCCACATAGTCATTCTGACAGACTGTAATACACTACAGGAAGTGTAGGGGGCGATATGGCTTCTACTGTTTCATTTAAAAAGCTCTATAATGTTCGAATGGGCGGAAGGCAGGATACACCCTGGACAGGTCGCCAGGCCATCGCAGGGCAGACAGACAGACATACATATACAATCACACACACACACACCTAGGGGCAATTCAGCATTTCCAATTGGCCTGACTGCATGTCTTTGGACTGTGGGAGGAAACCGGAGTACCCGGAGGAAACCCACACAGACACGGGGAGAACAGGCAAACTCCACACAGAAATGACCCTGGTCGCCTGCCTTCCGCCCAAGACAGCTGGGATAGGCTCCAGCACCCCATCGCGACCCAGAAGGATAAGCGGTTTAGTTGATGTATGTATGTATGTATGTATAATGTTCATATGATCCCCACAGTCACTCTGACAGACTGTAATACACTACAGGAAGCGTGGGGGGCGATATGACTTCTACTGTTTCATTTAAAAAGCCTCTATAATGTTCATATGATCCCCACAGTCATTCTGACAGACTGTAATACACTACAGGAAGTGTAGGGGGCGATACGGCTTCTACTGTTTCACTTAAAAAGCCTCTACAATGTTCATATGATCCACACAGTCATTCTTACAGACTGTAATATACTACATGAAGTGTAGGGGGCGATACGGCTTCTACTGTTTCATTTAAAAAGCTCTATAATGTTCATATGATCCACACAGTCATTCTGACAGACTGTAATACACTACAGGAAGTGTAGGGGGCGATATGACTTCTGTTGTTTCATTTAAAAAGCTCTATAATGTTCATATGATTCACACAGTCACTCTGACAGACTGTAATACACTACAGGAAGTGTAGGGGGCGATATGGCTTCTACTGTTTCATTTAAAAAGCTTTATAATGTTCATATGATCCACACAGTCATTCTGACAGACTGTAATACACTACAGGAAGTGTAGGGGGTGAAATGGCTTCTATTGTTTCATTAAACCATGCTGTGGAAACTCTGCAGAAGGCATAGTAGTTGAATTAGTCGATTTGTCAAATCATAGCCAATAGGTTAATTACTCAATTCTCAAATGAATTCAGTGGCATTTTAGCCTAAAAAAATAAACTCACATTGTGGGCCAGGCCTCCACTCTGAGGTCTAAAGGACCAGTTGACGGACAGGAGGTCGGTGGCTCGACTGGTGGAAGTGAAAGAGCAGGACAGGGTGACCGTCTCTCCACGTACCGCTTTAATTTCCTCTGGAGCACTAACTTCTATACAATACACTGGACCTGAATGCAGCACTGCAGAGAGAGAGAGAGAGAGAGAGAGAGAGAGACAGAGAGAGAGAGAGAGAGAGAGAGAGAGAGACTATTAGAGAAAGAATAAACAGATAAAACATTAATCCTTTGAGTCTAAATTTACATTTAAGTGTATTCACATACAAAGTTAGTTACACGATGAAATACATTTACATTCAATTTATTATCTGTACCGACAGTTTTTTCTGTTTCGATGAGTGTGTTTACATGCACTCAATAGTCTGATCATAATCAGATTTCTGCAGTTATCTGATTATTCAAGTGGTCGGCACACACTGAGTCTAGAAATCTGATTTAGAAATCTGATAAAGAGGCTGGATTTTAGCTCAGTAATCAGATTTCTCAGTGTATGTAAACTCTTACTCTGATTTCTTTCGTTTCTCTCAGTCTGCGCATGTGCGAAACAGACTGCGGTACCAACGCAGCAAAACACTGAAATCAACTACATCCTTGACAAAATGAAGGATTTAAATATCCTTTATCTTATGTTCATAGTTTCAGGTAAAGTGGTGAAATGGTTGAGTTTTACGTTACGTTTACGTCACGTCTTCTTCTGTGAGTTTATTGACCGGTTGCAAAGCAGAAATCTGATTACTGCCTGACTCATGTAGACCTGGAGTTTCCCCATTATCTAGTTGCTCATGTGCAAGTAAATCGGATTACTGACAAAATCTGATTTTCTGCAGTTATCGCACTCAGTGTTTCAAAGAAATCTGCAGGGATGTTTTTCCACACTATCAAAGTTCAGTCATAGAAGCTGGTTTAGTATATGTTGCTTTTCACCATCCAAGTAACCCAAAAAAAAGAGATGTTGAGGTCTGGGCTCTGGCCAGTCCACCATTCTGAGAACACTAGCAGCTTCTTTATTTGACAAAAAGGTCATTTCTTTAAAAGTAGGCCAAAAACAAAACATGCATATGAGTTCAGAATCATCACACACTAAAAACTGGACTGAGATATCCCCAACCTTCACTTCCACTCACCAATAGAAATGTGGTTAGAAATGTGGTGACTGAAAGTTTAGAATCTGCATTTTCAACAGACTTTTTTCAAAGAGCTACGCAGCAGCAACTGGGACCCGTAAGGGGTTAAACCCTTAAATATCCAGGGCTCACCGGCAGGCACTTCCATAACCTAATAGCTCAGGCAGTTTGCATTAAAGTCCCTGTAGTTACTGAATAATAAGCCTTAGTGTGTAATTAATCGTTAAGCCCTTAGTTGGGACTTTAAGGGGTTAACGATTTTTCCTAGAACAGCACATCCAATTGAAGAACCATTTAGGAACCTTACATTTTAAGAGTGGTTAGCTGAAGGGGTCTGGACATTGCTTTCAGTCTTAAAATTAGAGGAGCAATACTAGAAAAGAACCACTTTGTGGTTCCTTAAAAAACCTTTTAATAGATGGTTAACAGATGTAAATGTGATGCTAGAGTGTGAAGAACCTTTATTAAGAACCTTCACATAACGATTCAACACAAATTAAAGAGTTTCCTTAAACAGAACATCCAAGCAAAGAACCATTTAGAAACCTTTATTTTTTATTTTTAAGTTTCTTTCATTCTAAAAATTCAGGTTCCTTTGAGAGACACCAGACGAGAACCACTTTTGGTTCCCCAACAAACCTTTCAATGGATGCTTCTTTAAAGAACCTATCTTTGTAAATCACATGTTAGAGAGTGAAGATCCCTTTAAAGAACCGTCACATAATGTAAAGGCCCTAAACCAATTATCCAAATGTAGAACCATTTTTGAACTTTTATTTATAATAGTAATAGTATACATTTATAACACTAACAAATATAATAAACCATTATCTATAACAACACAATTAACTGTTAGCTACATTAGCCTTGTAGCTCCAGTGCAAAACTAAGAAGTTGGCTATTCTAGTTTAGCACTGGAGCTACGAGGCTAATATGTAAGGAAAGCTCATACATATCTACAAAAATGTTGTTTCTGAGACCATAAGACATATTATTATCTATAACACCACACCGGAGGTGCTTATCTAAAGGAGTCGGACGTTGCTTTCACTCCCATAAATAAAGGTGCTAAGGTGGTCCCTCAAAATCCCAGGCTTGCTAAGGCTAATAAGTAAATAATGTAAAGAAATAAGGTAAATAATCTCATAAGTGCAACTCAAAATGGGAAATATTAGACATATGGACTAGATTTAAGATCATTTTGCTTCAAAACATACCATTTTTTGCAGCGTACTAAACCTGATCTGGCTCTGCCTTGACGTAACGGTAGAAGCTCATATTAGCCTGAAAGGCAAAAGTCTGACAGGACAAAGTAAAAAGCTTCTAGGAATCAACTGTACTAGATGCTAAAAAGTCAGTTGCTGGCTGTTAGCTAAAGTGCTGACACACATTTCTGGGAAACTTTCTCAGCAAAAGCCCTTTCAGATATCACTGAAAAGTCCAATGGACGCTTGAACAAAAAGACACCCACTGACAGCGAACTTTAGGGAGCTGGAAAATGAATAGAGAGCAGAATAATCGCCCGTAATGTCCTTGAGATCCTTTTGATGAGCCAGCTGTCCCCACAGCAACCGCTACAACATATTCATATCTCTAGCACAGTCATCGCAATGCCACTGACAGAACGATACAAGCTAGCGGCACTCCAACACACAGTTTCACACGGTTACATCACACCGCTTCTGAGGGCGGCCACACGGCACCGCGACTGTCCTCGTCCCTTTTGAGGTAAACGTTCAAAGGCGAGGGAGGTCACAGCTGCAATTAGCTGCAATCTGGAAAGTCAGGCAAGATGGCAACAGTGAAATCGCATGTAATAGAAGGAATAGCTCAGCGAAGAATCTACACAATTTCCACCATCACCTCAAATGTAGTCAACCAACCAAGACATGCTTAGTGTCTGAAGTTTGCTTCTTTAGTTAGCACTGAAGCTCTACTAAGCTCTACTGTGGCCTAAAAGACCACTGCCCTGCACTTTTCAGCATTTTTCCTGCTCCTACCACACCTATCCAACTATTAACAGCCCATTATTGAGTTAAACTGGCAGGAAAAAGCACTAAAATGTGGGCCAGAACTGAGAAACCCTGGCATACAGTTAGCATTGTGCTAACTGCACACCTAAATCATCCCCAATTTGCCCCAAACTGTGTCCAGTTGTTCAATAATCTCAAAAAAGACTTGCTTATGTGGTTTCGGAGACCATAAGACATACTATTGTCCATAATAACACAATTATTTGTTAGCTACATTAGCCTTGTGGCTCCAGTTCAAGACTAAGAAGTTGGCTATTCTAGTTTAGCACTGGAGCTACGAGGCTAATATGTAAGGAAAGCTCATAAAAATCTAGCTCATCTACAAAAAAATGTTGTTTGAGACCATAAGACATATTATTATCTATAATAACATGATAACTTAGCTAAATTAGCCCTGTAGCTCCAGTGCAAGACTAAGAAGATCTAGCTCATCTAAAAAATAATGTTGTTTCTGAGACCATAAGACATAAATATCTATAATAACAATTACCTGTTAGCTACATTAGCCTTGTGGCTCCAGTGCAAGACTAAGACATTGGCTATTCTAGTTTAGCACAATAGCTATGAAGCTAATATGTAGTGAAAACTCATACATATCTAGACCATAAGACATATTATTATCTATAATAACATGATAACTTAGCTAAATTAGCCCTGTAGCTCCAATGCAAAACTAAGAAGTCAGCTATTTTAGTTTAGCACTTAAATTACAAGGCTAATATGTAGTGAAAGCTCATACGTTCTCTACAAAGAGTGTTTTCTAAGACCATAAGACACATTATTATCTATAATAACACAATTACTTGTTAGCTAAATTAGCCCTGTAGCTCCAGTGCAAAACTAAGAAGTCAGCTATTTTAGTTTAGCACTGAAGCTACAAGGCTAATATGTAAGGAAAGCTCATGCATATCAAACGTCTTTCTCTTAAGCATAAAGGTGAATAACAAAACACTGCATAATGAAAAATAGTAGTAACTGACATTCTGATGTCTTAATTTTGTCCAATTTCACTGGAAGAAATGAGCTCAACACAGCAAAACATTAAGCTTTTCATGGCCTGAACAACAAATTCTTAGACAATAAATTAGCAAGAACTGAATAAATTTAGTATAGGAGAGGTTTTCTCTCTGATTTCTCTAAATGCTGAGGTTTTGAGGGGAAACTTGCAGACAACCTTTTACAGAAAGAAGAGTTAATACTGTTGCACTCAACACTGATGGCTTCAAACAGCTAAAACCAGTGCCAAGCTGGTCTGTGTTTAAAGTGAGACCACAGATATTTTCTATAGGGTTTAAATCTGGATTGACCAGGCCAAAGCCACCAGTAAACACCAGTAGGATTTTGGCCCATTCTTTTGCATGGAGTGATGAACAGGAGTCAGATAAACAAGCCTGAGCAAGTCGAGCTACTAAGTCATCTCTAACAGACTTGCTTATGTGGTTTCTGACACTGTATGACACACGAGAACTACTGCTGACCTTGGCACTGCACCGTGAAGGCCACTTGGGGTCTTCTTTATGATGCAACACCTGGCCCCTCTTGTGTAAACGCATGTCAAAATAAAAGTCCTCTGTTTTTGGTTGTGCCGCCTGATATTTGGGGAAGGAAGGACAAAAGTTGCAGACAAAAAATTTTCACTGAGTACCTGACCCCTCTTGCGTAAAAGCATGTCAAAATAAAAGTCCTTTGTTTTTGGTTGTTATTTGAGGAAGGAAGAACTTGCAGACAAAAGATTTTAGAGAGTTAAGCACTTTTAAAGTTACCTTATTTTGCAAAAAAGTCTTTATTTTAAAGTTTTCAAAGACAAAATCATGCCAAACTAATTTATTTAGAATTTTAACTAAATTACCTTTTTTGATAGTTCACTTAAATCAACATATGTGGCTGGATGGTTGCACCACCTGCCATTTTTAGACTAAGATGAATTTTATATGGATGCACTGAAAAAAGAGGTGTTGTCGAATAA